CAGCAAAATATGAAAACTCTGCTAATTAACAGGATGTTGCTGCTTAGCAGAAATTTTTCAGAAGGCAGCACTTTCCTCTTTACTTGATCTGTGTTTCTAAATAGCTTCAAACAATGCATGTGTTAGTATTATTTTCAGGGCAAGCTGCCAAGAATGTAAAGCATTCAGAGAATTGTTTTCTAGCAAAAGAGAATGTGTTTTGAAAGAGATTTTGAAGATTTCTTATCTCTCTAATATATCCTGCACTCGCACCATCTATGCATGATTAATAATGCCCTCAGCTCTACAGAATCATGGGAGTGCTCAGCATGTGAAAAGAAACAAAACTGAGACAGTACACCTAAGATATGAGTTGGGTATCAGAAAAAGACAGACAAGTAGGTGAGCATCTTGTGTCAAGGTAGCAGCTTCTGTTCCAGATGTGCAGCTGGCTCACTTGGTACCATTGGGTAAGCTGTTTACCTTCCATATAGTTGTTAGCCAACATGGAATTCATGGCCTAGGACCACCAGGATCCCAAAAAAGTACTCTCTGCCTTCCAAGTTTCCCAATTTATTTTTTATTAGTTATCCAGACATCTTGAAAATAAACTTACAAAGTAGAGCAATCAAAACTCAAAGTGGATTCCTCTCTTTTCCCTAAAGGAGACCCAGCAGTATGTAAAGCACTACAACAGAGAAGAGAAATGTCGAGCTACAGAAAAGCTGATATGAAAGAGCAAGGTTAGGAGTCAAAACAGATCTTCACTCTAAGCTGCTGGATCTTGAAACACAGGCACAAATCAGAGTGAACTCTGCTGCCAAGTCAAAAGACTGGGGGATTGGACTAGATGATCTTTCGAGGTCTCTTCCAAACCCCAACATTCTGTGATTCTGTGAATAGGCACAGAGTATGATCTGCAAAATCTGGCATTGTAGAGAATCATGGAAGAAGAAACAAAAGAAATTAATGAAAACCCTTAGCCCAAAGCTTGCTCTCCATTTGCATGCTGACAAATCATGACGAGTTGCAGATTTCTCAAATACCAAGTTAAAAATTTGTGATACTGAAAAGGAATATTTATTTTATTTCTGAGCCTTTATGGGTTTTCTCATCACCTTTTCCAATGTAAGAGCTATGAATGAAATACTTGAAAAAATCTTGATACAACTGAGGAGGCCAGTTCAACACTAGCAGGAAAGTTTCTTCACTTCTAACACACAAGAAAACAACATACAAGAGTTTTGAAAATCAGTCTACTGTAATCATATACAAATCAGAACATTTCTAAAACACACTAATCCAGATATTTAAAATGGCTACTTTTTCTAGCAAATTTTACCAGAAAATTTTATGAGGTTAGGTATCTTCAGCAAAGCAAAAAAAATGAGTTAGTTGTTAAAAGAAGAGAAGAAGTTAAGAGTAAAATGTTTTCAGCATTGAAACCTGATTCCCCAAAATAAATTAATAAATTTGATCAATTTAAGCACAAAAAAGCTATGAATTTACAACATAGAATGCAATAGAATCAATCAGGTGAAATTGTATTAATTAATCTTGGAAAAAATGTTAAAAATGGCATACCTCTCATAAGACAAAATTATTTAAGAGCTTTAGATAAAGAATGCTCTTTAGATAAAGATAGGCACATCATATCACATTGCTAAGTTACAACTATAAATACAACAAAACACAAGCTTTATCTCTTACCTTAACACAGCAAGAGAGTGCATTCGCAATAGCAGCTTACAGTTTCTCAGTAAAATCAGGAAAAAAGGTTCTCCGTAGTATCTGACGTTACCTTGCAGAAGAATGGAAAAGCAGTCACCTCTTCTTTTGTTTTTAGGGTTTGGAGGTTTTGTTGGTCATGATTTCAACTCCCTACAACCACTCCCACTTGTAAAGCCAATGAGGGTTTCATTATCGTTGACTGAGAAAAATAAAGTAGCAAGAGGTAATATCATTTAGTTTCTGTTGTGGTTTAACACCAGCTGGCAACTAAGCACCGCACAGCCACTCACTCACTGCCCCTAGTTGGGATGGGGAAGAGAATCAGAAAAGTAAAAGTGAGGAAATTCTTGGGTTGAGATAAAGACAATTTCACAGATAAAGCAAAAGCTGCGAGCACAAGCAAAGCAAAACAAGGAATTCATTCACCACTTCCCATGGGCAGGCAGGTGTTCAGCCATCTCCAGGAAAGCAGGGCTCCATCACATGTGACAGTGACTTAAGATGACAAACACTATCACTCCAAATGTTCCCCCCATCCCTCTTCTTCCCCCAGCTTTATCTGCTGAGAATGACGTCCTACACTATGGAATACCCCTTTGGTCAGTTGGGGTCAGCTGTCCCAGCTGTGTCCCCTCCTAACTTCTTGTGCACCCCCAGCCTCCTCGCTGGTGGGCCAGTATGAGAAGCTGAAAAGTCCTTGATTCTGTGTAAGCCCTGCTCAGCAACAACTAAAACATCAACGTGTTATCAACATTCTTCTCATCCTAAATCCAAAACAGTATTATACCAGCTACTAGGAAGAAAATGAACTCTATCCCAGCCAAAATCAGGACACTTCCTGCTCCTATTAGTAAAGTAGCAGCAGAGGTTTCCAGCAGAGCTCATTTTTGAGGCTATGCCTTACCAAAGCTCCCAGATGTCACCACCACAGTTTTCTGGCATCCAGGATATTGCCTCCAGATGAGCAGGAGCTCCAGCACTCTTTGACCGTACTGCTCCTAGCCAAGAACAATATGACAATTCCATTTTCTTCAGCATTTCTCAAGTAACAAAACAGAGTTGAGAGCAAATCTTCAGCATCAGTCTGTCAATGCTGTTGTACCTGCCTATTCCAAAAGTCTGTTTGGGGATCACTCACCTCTCATTTGGAGAGAAAATCCAAGGCAGGAGAGTGCACAAAGACAGCACTGAAAGGAGCTACCCAGAAAAGGAACCATACAGTAACATCTCCCCATCCCTCATGAAGCTGATACCTATTGCCAACTCCATCACAGGCACAGAGCTAAGGACCAAAGACATGCCACGGGAGGGACAGTTGCCCAACAGAAATGACCTCTTTTCCTCTCAGCTGCTTTTTGAAAGATAATAGGGAACTGAAGTGGCATGATTTGCTTTTCTGAAGGAGTTTTAACTCCCTTCTCTTGAGCACCTCTGCAGGTTAAGTTGGTTGGAGAGGTGTGACCCATGACTCCCCTTCCCAACCCCCTGCCACAGCAGGAAAAGGAGAGGAGCCCACATGTCCCAGCTCTGCATGTTTGCAGGCACAGCACCCAAGAGAGGCCAACTTGGTGAGACCAGTTGTGATCTTAGCTGCACTGAGCATTTGTTTGAGAACCTCTAGCTGGGTTTCTGCTTTTCCCCCGTTTTCAGACTCCAGTCCCATTCTGTTTGGTTTGGTGACCTCTGGCACAGACGTAGGCGAATCCACTGAAACACAGGCTGTTCCAAAAAGGAGTGGGTTTGTTTCAGTTGTTATATAGCAGTTATCTGCAAAACACTCATATATATTGTCTTTTCATCTCTCTCTGCAATCTCTATGGGTTATTTTGGTGACATACACCAGCTATATTAGAATTACAGGGACAATCACAGAATTGCAATTCAGAGGAAAAAAAAATAGATGATCCTGGCTCTCCATGTTTTATTGCTTATTATAAATTTATTATAATAATAAATTATTTAAATTATTTATTTTAAATTTATAATAAGCTTTCTGGGCTATTTGCTAATTCTCCAGATAATATCAATAATATTTTTGTGTTTTATAGCCTGTGACACATTCAACACAGGAGACTACTTTTCATTCTGAAGTGGAGGGAAAAGCCTGTACAGACAGTGACACACACCTGCCCTGTGAACGTAGTGCCAGAGTTGAAAGCAACCCACTGCTCACAGCATCTTGCAATCCTGCTTACAGCACAACACTTTGGTGTATTTCTCCTGCTATCACTCACTGCATTCTCTGTAGAGAGGGAGACAGACTTTAGAATATTAATTGCTCAGTCTGGCCCCCAAAACCACTTTTCACACATTGAAAAATAATCAAGACTTTTTAAAAAAATAAAATAAAATAAACAGACTCTACATAGCATTTGTAGATAACAGATTATGCTCCCTACTCCAAAAGGGCTGCTGAATGCTTTAGGTGGTCATTACTATAAATATATTCCACATTAGAGTGACAGGACACTGGAACAGGCTGCCCAGAGAGGTTGTGAAGTCTCCTTCTCTGGAGACATTCAAAACCCACCTGGATGTGTTCTTGTGTGACCTACCGTAGGTGATCCTGCTCTGGCAGGGGGGTTGGACTAGATGATCTTTCGAGGTCCCTTCCAATCCCCAACATTCTGTGATTGTGTGAAAAGCCACCATAAGGCTTTCTAGAAAGCTTCTGCTCCATCACAGCGTGGTAGCCTGACATTTCATTGCTTTGCTTCCCAGTATGATATCCACCAAATCTAAGAAATTGCTTGTGGGTCTATTCATGCCTCCATTCAGCACTATGCCCGCTCTCCTCTACTTCCTCCTGTGTAGGATAAAGAAACACGTACAGCATTAGGAAATATTTCTCCCATTGCACTACTTTGGATTTACCTTCTGTTTGCTTCCTTGGCATCAGGGAATTTTTCTCAAGGAGGGTTTTCCAGGAGTAGCAATGTTACATTCTGTTTGTATTGCTTCAGCTCAGAGATACGATATTCAAGCATGAGCTTTGGAGTGAGGATCACTGCACTAAGTGATAAGACATTTTAATGGATGCCTTGAAGGCTCTAAAGCTAGAGAAATGTAAAAGGCATTCCATTTCAATGTATATCTCCAGCAGAACCTGATGTCTTTTCCATTTCACAACAGATGATATCAGCAAGATGTCTGTTTAGGAGCATCCATTCATGGAAGGAGTAGGAACCTACTGTACTTCTGCTTTTTTCAAAAAACACAAAAAAACTACAGGAGTAAAACCAAACTGCTATGTCTGCTCATGAACATAATTGCTGTGTTTTCTGTTCCAGCTCATCCTTGCCACATGGGAAGGAGGTTACAACTTGCAGTGCCAGAACCTCCACAGCGCAGGGGAGGCTGACATCCGGGTGAGACACAGCAGCAGCTCAGCCCCCATGACAGTCCATCCTTCCTTCCCTCCACGGCAGTCCATCCTT